ATACAATTTCAATTTGTTGTAAAGAAACACAATGAAAGTCCAAATCATATGAAATGGGTACATTATAATTTGTTCAGTTATTTCAATTAGGAAATAATCGTTAGACCGAAAATTGGATGAAGAAACCAAAAATCCAGAAAGCATAAAAAAGAAATCAACTGCCAGAAATCCAAAGGGGAAATACGGTTTAAATTTGATTCGACTCAAATAGTCATAGTGATGGTCAACAACAGCAATTGAAGAAATGGCTCTCAATAATGTCAGTGTTGAAAATATAGTGACTTTAGGTTTTATTGAAAGTTCATTCTTATTATCTTTTGGTGTAATAGATGGAAAAACTTTGGTTGTGTCCTTTTTGGATAAATCATTTTCTTTTAGTTGTATTTCAACGTGATCATTAATAACTACATTTATGCTTTGATTCGAGGTAATAGATTCGTGTTGTGCTTCTTCGATTACAATTGACATATTTAAAAATTATTAGTTTAATAAGTTTCAAACACGACTTTTTCAAAATAAAATGGATTTATGAATGTATTATTAATACAAACAAACAAATGGTTTGTTTTTAATTTGTTGTTTTAATATATTTTAAACCAACTAAAATGTACACAGTTAAACAATTTTTTATAAATTATATGATTTAAATTATAATTTTTATTTATAATTGTCAGCATAATTCGTATTTTTAAAATCAGTCTTTCAATATTGTCTTTTTTTACAAACATAGTTCCTCTTCCAAAAATAACACAACAAACCATTTAAATATAAGAATTAAATAAAAATTTAATAAAAAAACTAAAACAGTAATTTCTGGCTCTTTGATTTTTCTCAAAACGTTCCAAATATTAACATCTAATAACCAAGTAACAAATCCAAGGTAAAAATAAAACAGATAAATAATAGAAAATAATTATTATAATTATTTATTATTTTTTGAATATATATATATAACAAACAATTGACAAAAACATAGTCATACATGTGTTTTGAATCAAAGTTAAAAAAACTGGATAATAGTTAATTAAAAAAGTTAAAAACCAAATTAATAGTTTTAAAACTTTAATTAAAAATTATTATAAAAATAGATTCAAGTGTCTTACTACTATTTAATGAACCTCTGTTTCAATTCTTTATTACATCTTATTACCAAGGTAATTAATAGGAAATACATCCTTCCAATATTTACTTGTCAACTATATAATAAATTAAATAACAAACAAACCATTTTATTACTTTGAAATGGATCTGAAAAAAACAAAATCAATAACAATTTTTTATTTAAATTTAGATGGTACTTCAGCATTTTACAATCATACACAAAAATCATATAAAACAAAAAACTTAAATTAATATTAACACAATTTTGTCCATTGTGTTTGGTTGCTGGTTTGCTGTTTATAAAATAAACACCTTTATTAAAACATAATTAAATAGGAAAGTTGTGTAATAGTTTAAGTAATTTTACTAGAAATATAGTTTTTAAAATAGTTTATAAAAATTTAATAAAATATTACAAAATAAGTTTTAAAAACAAACATCGTCTAAATATAGATTATTCTAATTTATTGAATTAAAAACTTCAAATTATTATGGATTGCTATTTTACAAATAATTGTTTTTTTGAATGGACTGAAAAGTCATTTTATAATAAATATGTTCTGAATTAATTATGCACCAAATCAAATTTATTCTTGTCAATCAATTTTTAAAAATAATTAATTGATTTTTATTATCAAAATAATACCAAAAAATATATATAAATAAATTTATTAATAGTTATTTCATTTTTCAAATACAGTCTTATCAGGCATTTTTTCATCAAGCCATCGGTGTATATATCTCATTTCCTTATCAAAATATTTCTGATTCATATCGTCATTATTCCAAAGACA